TGGGATGGAGTGGGATGCCAGGGCTGTGGCACGGACAGTTCTGAGCTTCCTTGGCACTGCTAACACCCCCGGTGCTGTGCCTCTCCCCCCAGGTGAGAAGGGCTGCAAAGGTGGGTTCCAGGCCATTCCCACAGCCTGCAGGGTCCCCCCAAAAGCCCCGGAGGACTTGGGGTGCCCATTGGCAGCACCCCTGGGCAGTCTCAGGGATTATGGCATCCCCGAGCTCCCCGAGCCCCTGGGCAAGAGCAAGAGCAAGAAGAGGAGGAACAGGACGACCTTCAGCACGTTCCAGCTGGAGGAGCTGGAGAAGGTTTTCCAGAAGACACATTATCCTGATGTGTACACCCGGGAGCAGCTGGCACTGCGCACGGACCTGACGGAGGCCAGGGTGCAGGTATGGGCACAGAGGGATGGGCATGGGGCTGCCAGGACAGGGGTTCTCCTCTCTGCAAGGTGGTGCTGAGATAGAAGCTGATTTCCCATGAAAACGCTAAACCCCAGATGGAAAATCTCAGGCTCTGCACCCTCTGCTGTGGTCGGGTGTTGGTTGTCCCTGAACCTTCTGCACTCCCTCCCTGGACAAGCACCCAAAGGGTGGAAAGAGCCAAAGTTTGGGGGGTCAGTGCCAACCACCCCCCCTCAGAATGCCCTCATCGTGATGCCCCCCATGAATCCATCATTCCCAGCTCAGTTCTTCAGGAGAGGAACCTCAGGAGCTCCCGTGGGTAGGACTGGGGCTGGGGCAGGGTGACACCGACCCTCCCTGCCCAGCTCTGCTGTCCCCATGGCGTTTGAGGCTCCAGGTGGGAGGAGGCAGCTGGAGGGGGCTCCCAGCAGGAACGGAATGGAGGAAGAGGGTAAGGGAGCGAGCAGGGAGCTGCCATCCCCAGGAGCAGGAACAAGGCACAGGCAGGGGGAGTGTCCCCAGGAACCCACCAAAAGTGGGCTGGAAGTGTCCCCAGGAGCCTCCAAACCCAGATTTGGGGTGGATTGAGATGAAAGCACCCATAGCCATGAGTGTCAAGCCAGGTATCCCGGGGAGCATCCTCCTCTCCGGGAGGGGATGCGGGAGTTGTCCCCACCCCAGCACGGAGGGGACAAGCAGATGGAACATCAGCAGCCAAAAAGCCTCATTCTGCAGCAAAATCTGGGATAAACAAGTGCCAGAAGCAGCAGGGAGGGGAAAAGGGAGCAGGAAGGATTATTTTTTGTGCGGGACAAGATAATCCCGGTGTTGGTCAGAGAGCTCCAATGCTGGGCACAGAGCAGCTTCCCTTGCCCGGCTCCTCCTGGCCCTGGGAGGAGCACAGAGCTCGGCAGGAGCTGCAGTGAGCAGGGGAAGGGTCCCCACACTTCAGCCCCCTCCTCCATCCCCAGGTTTGGTTCCAGAACCGCCGGGCCAAGTGGCGGAAACGGGAACGCTACGGGAAAATCCAGGAGGTGAGAGAGAGATGGCTCGGGAGCTGCTGCAGCCCTGTGAGCCCCCATTCATTCCCGGGGGAAAGGGGGGTCCCTCTGAAGCACCTGGGGGTGCCCCACATTCCCATTCCTGCCTCCAGCATCACCCATTCCTGCCCTTTCTGCCCCACATCACCCATTCCTACCCCGCCACATTCCCATTCCTGCCCCTTCTCCCCCCACGTTTTTCCCCATCCTTGGGAGGGAGAAGTGCAGCCCGGGATGGAAAAGAGGGAGGATCACATTTTGCCACATGCTGCTTTATGTCCCACTCCATTCCTCTCTGGGGCAGGTTTTGGGGTGTTCCTCCTCCTGAAGATCCCCTTTAGCTCTCATCCATCTGTGCTTCCTGCCCCCCTTTTCTGCAAAGCTTCATTTTCCCCCTCAGTATCAAAAAGCAAAAAAATAATTTAAAGCTCAGCTTCATGCACATCCCTGAAGCCCAACTCTCCCAGAGGGAATAATTCAAGCAGGATTCACCCCCCCCAAGGGCAGAAAACAGCAAAGCATCGCTCCCTTTGCACCCTGAGGAGAATCCTACAGGGGTGGGATACGAGTTATCCTGAAGGGGGCACTGGGATCTAAAGCAGAATGGGGGGGAAATTGAGCAGGTTGTGATGTCCCCACCCTCATTTTGGCCTTTTTGTTGTTGTTGTTGTTATTGCAGCTGCAGAACAACCTGTGGCCGAGCCCTGGGAGCCCCCCGGGGCTGCTGCCCCCCGAGCCCATCCCGTCGCCCTGCATGTCCCCGTACCCCCCCGCTGCCAGCAATGGCTTCGTGGGCATCCCTGCATCCCCGGGCATCAACAGCCTGTACCCCCTGCCCGGGCTGCCCCCCCCGGGGCTCCCCCACCCCTTCGAGCCCGCCCAGCACGAGTACAAAGCGCCCCCGCTGGTGCCGCTGAGGATGAAGAGCAAAGAGGGCGCCGGGAGCCTCCTGAGCTGGGCCACATGATGCCAAGGGGATGGACGCGGAGCCTTCATCCCCCCGGAGTGAATCCCCCACCCCAGGGATGGGGGCGGGCTGTGGGGTCACCTTCACCCCCTCCCTGCACCCCCCGAGCTTCCCCTGCATCCACCCCGCCGAGAGGGGCCAGGGGGAGGGAAAAGAGGGGTCCCCAAAGCCAGGGGCAGCTCGGAAATGGCTCCCCCAATTTCCTGAGCCCTCCCAGCATTTTCAGGATTGTGCTTGAAGGAGATTCCCAGTGCTTTCCCCACCCCACCACCGTGTGCGCCCCCTGCCAGCCCTGGGTGGGGCTGTGGAGCACCAGGGCAGCACTTTTGGGGACAATTCTCCCCTCCCCAGCTGAAATTTGGCCGCTCACCCCCTGCCCAGCACAACCAGCAAGGGCAGAAATTGGGCTCTTCCTCTCCCAGTCCCATACTGGGAAGACTGGGCTGGGACAGCTCCTGGTACTGGGTGTTACTGGGAGCAGGGCCAAAGCCCCCCCAGAGCATCACAGCTCGTTCTGCTCCCTCTTGGAGGGGAAATAAAGCCCTGGCACAATAAAATCCCAAATTAAGGCTGTTCCTTGGAGGAGTCACCCTGTTCCCCCTAGGAAGGAGTTTTAATCCCATCAGTGGAACCCAGTAATTTCCAGTGGAACCCAGTAATTCCCAGTGGAACCCAGTAATTCCCAGTGGGAACCCTCCCAGGATTGGGATGGGTTGGGGCACAAATGGGCAATTTGGGTGAGGGGTTTCTGCATTTTGCAGGGTTACAGGTGGTACCTGCAAGGGCGGTAATGAGGGGGCACCTCATCTGTTCTGGGGGTCCCCAAGTCCCCCCAAGAGCCAGCATGTCCTGTCCCCCCCCTTCACCCACTGTGACCTCTCCCACTGCAGGAAACACCAAAAATGAAGCCAGGAATGTCCCAGCACCAGGGACACTGGGGCCAAACTCCCTCCATGCCCAACCTGCAATGCCCCCCTGCCCCACATCCTGAGACAGGGGGGACACCCCTGGGGGGCACCTGGATCCCCTCACAAAGGCACCAAATCTGCTGTTTCAGCCCAATCTGGAGAAGCCCAAGGTTTTCAGGCAAGCCCTGGGCACAGTGGGTGCCAGCCCAGGGCTGCCCACCCTCAGCCAGGACATCTGACACCCCCTCCCAACGGTGGGCATTGTGTTATTCATTTCTAAACAATAAACCACATTTTTCGTAAGTGAATTATGGCTCCAGCAGCCCTATAAAGCCAGGGGGGGTGGGGATGGAGACTTCCAACAGGCTCCTCAGGCCTGTGCTGGTGCTGGGAATGGGTTTGGGGGCAGGATGGTGCTGGAGGTGGGTGCCAGAGGTGGGTACAGCCATGGCAGGACACTGTGCAGAGCAGTGCTCTGTGGTTCAGGAGGGCAGTAAGAAAAAAAAAAAAATAAAATCCCCATTTAAAACCTCTGTCCTAGGGAGGATAAAATCCATTTGTCTTCCACTGAGAGCTGGGCCCTGCCAGGACCTGATGCTCTCCTGGAATGTGGGATGAGGGATAAGGGACGAGGTTTGGGCTGCTGAACAGCCCAGCCACAATCAGAGCTGCAGTCCTTGAGGCTGGAAAAGCCCTCTGGGACCATCCCAGCCCAGCAGCAGCACAGTTTCCTTCTAAACCACCTTCAGGGGTTCACTGGGGTGCAAAGTGGTGCTGAGGGAGCTTTGCTGGGTGGGTTTGCAGTGTCCTGAGCAGGGTGAGCAGGGATTTCTGGAAGTTTTACTCATCATTAAACCAAGCCAGGGCAGCTTTTCCTTCTCTGTGCTCTCCTGGAGGCACATCCACACCTGGCTCTGTGCTGCCCACGGGGTCAGGGTGCAGCACTGGGCATCCAGATGGATCCAGCTCAATGCCACCCCTGGCTGAGGGGGAAGAGAGCAGGATGGGGACAGTTCCAGGCATGTTACCATCCATGCTGTGCCCACAGAACTTCTCTGATGGCTCATAAGGCTGAGTTTGCTGCTTCCAGGGCTGAGGCTGAGCATCCCCACAGCAGGATTCACCCCTGGAGCTCCACAGGCTCAGAATCCCAGCAGGTGATGGAATTGGTGCTGTCCCAGGCTCCCTCTGCCCACAACCATCTCTGCAAATTCCTGCCTCAAATCAGGGTGAATCCCCCAGGATTTCACCCCCCAAGGCTGCTGCCGCCCCTCTGCCAGGGAAACCGAGGCCAGGCAAGGTGCCTGGGTGAGCTCTGGCAGGATTTGGTGTCAGGATCCTCTGCTGGGAGCAGGGACCAAAGAAAACCCCAGTGGTGACACCACAAAGAAAACCCCAGGTAACACCACAGAGGTGTCAGAAATCCCAGGACAGAGCTGGGGAAGGGTTCAGTGAATGGGACAGGGAAGGAAGGGACAGCCTGTGGGAACCTGCTCCCCCCAACCAACAGACAGGATGCAAAATAAGATTAAACCTTCTGGTGAGGGGCCATGTACCCCTGGGGCTGGTGAGGACAAGGACATGGGATGAGGAGCTCTCATCCCAGCCCAGCTCCAGGCAGAAGGGCAGGGACAGGGACAGAGCCCAGCCACGCTCAGGGCAGAGGTATCACCAAATATATATAATATATGTACAGCTCCTGCACCCCTCCTGGGGTGAGGGGAGGCCACCCCAGCCCCTCAAGCCCCCCAAACCCCCCAGAGGGGCTGGGCAGGGCCACCCAAGGACCCCCACTCCCACCTGCTCCCCCTTCCTGGCTGGGGGGCACGACAAGGGGGTGCCCCTGAAAGCATCACATGGGGTGGGTGGGCAGAGATCCCACCCACCCAAACAGGAAACCCCCAGGGCACCCTCAGCTTTGGGATGAGCCTGGAAGGAAGCTCACAGAGGGGCAGCATGTGGTCTCAGCTCCATCCTCTTCCCAAGCCCACCACAACAGCACAGACCCCCTCCCAAACCTCACTGCCCTGCCCCGTGAGCCTCCAGCTCTCCGAGCAACCCTGTGTCCATCACTGCAGCAGCTCCTCCCACGAGATGGGCCGGGAGAACACCTCCCTCTCCAGCCAGAGGTCGTAGTTGAGCTGGAAGTCCTCGGGCAGCTCCACCCTCTGGCCCAGCACGCTCTGCAGGCAGTTGTCCACGGGCACGAAGTCGGGGTTGCCGTGGGCGCGGTCGTAGCGCCGCGAGTTGAAGCGCTCGATGCTGGCACGCAGGGCACACTCCTCTGCCTGGAAATCCCAGGGACGGGCATCCAGGTCTGGAACAGGCATGAGAGGGGTCAGAGCAGAGCTGGGTGTCACAGACATCTCTCTATGAGAAATCTTTCCTTAGGATTTTTGTCTGAGAGGCTTCAGGGACAAAATGTAACCAATGGTTATCTGCTGCTGTGGGATGCAATAGTGCATCTGTGATTGGTCTCATGTGGTTGTTTGGAATTAATGGCCAATCACAGTCACAAATCTTTGTTATCATTCTTTTCCCTTCTATTCTTAGCTTAGCCAGCCTTCTGAGATGAAACTTTTTCTTCTATACTTTTAGTATAGTTTTAATGTAATATATATCCTTTTAGTATAGTTTTAATGTAATATATATCTTAAAATAATGAATCAAGCCTTCTGAAACATGGAGTCAGATCTACATCTCTTCCTTCATCCCCAGACCCCTGTGAGCACAGCTGGGGACTCCTCAGCCAGCCCAAAGCCCTCGGGGTGTTGGTGCAACCCCAGCCAGACTGAGCCCCAGATGGCTGATTGCTCATTACCACACCAGCCAAAGCAGGGAAGAATCAGGAGGGTAAAAGCTGGAAAATTGCTGGGTTAGGATAAAGAATAATAAAGCTTTTGCTTGATAAAGAAAGCAAAAGCTGTGCAGCACAAGGAAAGAATAACAAGGAATTAATCCCCCACTTCCCATGAGCAGGCAGGTGTTCAGCACCTTCAGGAGAACAGGGCCCCATCCAAGGGAATGGTGGCTTGGATGACAAACACCATCACTCCCAACATCCCCCAATTCCTCCTTTTTCTTCCTGCTTTATATCCTGAGCATGATGTCCTAGGGTCTGGAATACCCTTTGGTTCTGTCTCCTCACAACAATCCATACACCCCCAGCCCCCTCCCACTCAGGAAAGGCCTTTGTAGGTCAAACAAAGCACAGGGCCAGGAGTTTCCTTCCACCACCACTTCAGCATCCCCAGCACAGGGAAACAACCAAAACAAAGCCAGGAATGGGGGCTCCCTTTGGCCCCACCTGCCTCAGCACCAGGAAATGCTGGAACACTCCAAAGGACATTCCTGGGCCAAAACAAAACGCCCAAAACTGCAATGCCACCCTGTCCCACCTCCCACATTCTGATGGTGGGAGGGGGTCACCCCACTGGGGCACCTGGACCCCCTTGGGGAGGCACCAAACCTGCAGTTCCAGCCCAATTTAGGCCAAAAAGGGTTTTCAGCCAAGGTTTGACACCTCAGGCAGAGCCCTGAGCCCTAAAATGTCATCACCAAAATCCCTCCCACACCCCAGACCTGCTGGGCAGTGTCTGGCTCAGCTGGAATTTGTTTTCCCACAGGAATCCTGCCAGTGCTGGGCTTTGCAGTGGGAGCTGGGAAGGTTTTGGGAACCCACCAGCACTCTGGCTCTGCTGGGCAGAGCTGGCACAGCACCAGCACTGTCTCCCAAAATTCCCACCCCATCAAGCACATGCAAGATCCTGGGAGGGGACACAGGCCAGCTGACCCAAATTAGCCAAGGGAATATTCCAGATTCTGTGATGTCAGATCAGATATAAAGCCAAGGTAAGGAGGAGGAGGAATGATGGGGCATCAGTTATTTAAAATATGTGCCTTCCAGAGCAGCAGCTCCACGTGCTGCAGCCTGGCCTCCCCAGAGTGCCTGAACATCACTTGCTGATGGGAAGTAGAGAACAAACCTATTTTTTTTTCTGCTCTTGCTGTACTAAACGACCTTATTTCACCCTACAAGTCATTCCCCAGCTGATTTTCTCTGCCCTGTCCAGCTGGGAAAGGGTAGAGCAGCTTAGTGGGCGCCTGGTCAAGCTCAACCAGCTGAGATCCACCAAGGTCAACCCAGAACATAGGCCCAAACCCCAGGCAGAAAGGGCACACTGGGGACACAGACCCTGGGGCAGGAGGGCTGGGAATGCCACAGAGCCTGGAGCAGGGGGGTTGGGGATGCCAGGATGCCAAAGACAGTGGAGCAGGAGGGCTGGGGATGCCAGGTGTGCCACAGACCATGGGGCAGGAGGACTGGGAATGCCACAGACCCTGGGGAAGGAGGGCTGGGGATGCCACAGACTCTGGAGCAGGAAGGCTGGGGATGACAGGGGTGCCACAGACCATGGGGCAGGTGGGCTGGGAATGCCACAGACCCTGGGGAAGGAGGGCTGGGGATGCCAGGGGTGCCAGGGATGCCAGGATGTACCATTGCCGTAGGCCCAGTCGTCGTTGAGGCGGTGCCTCACTTTCTGGTAGATGGCTGACATGGTTTTCATGTTGCTCTTCCTCCACTGCCTGCCCAGGTACTTGGTCTGCACCTTGAGCAGCTTCAGCACGTAGAGCTGCATCATGGCCTGCTTCACCTTCAGAGCCCGCTTCAGGATCGGCGCCGACTTGAACACCACCAGCATCTGCCAGAACATTCCAGATCCAGCTGGGATGGATCCCTGGGCCAACCCCTCCTCCACTCCCCTGCTCAAGCCGTGGCTTGTCCCAGGTTATCCCCAGTGCAGGTGCCTGGCCAGGCTGAGCTCCAGAGCACTCCCAGGGCTCACCATGGTGCGGGAGTGCTTCCACTTGGTCAGCTTGTTCAGGATGCGCAGGAGGTTTATGCAGGAGAAGAGGTTCCGCCAGCAGAACTGGTTGTTGTCTCCAGCTTCCTGTGGGGAAGGAGAGGCAGGGTCAGGCAAGGGATTGGAGAGGAGATGGGGAGAGGCTGGGGTGATCTGAGGAACCATTGGACAGCACAGCATGTGGGCATGGACTCATCCAATCATGGAATTGTTAAGATTGGGAAAGCCCTCTGAGATCATCAAGTCCAACTGTTCCCCCAGCACTGTCAGGGCCACCAGTAATCCCTGGCCTCAAGTGCCACATCCACACCCACGCATTGTCTGAACACTTGCAGGGATGGTGACTCCAGCACTGCCCTGGCCAGCCTGTACCAGTGCCTGAGCATCCTTTCCACAAAGAATTTCTCTCCAATATCCAACCTGAACTTCCCCTGGCACAGCTTGAGGCCATTCTCTCTTGTTCCCTGGGACCAGAGCCTGAACCTCCAGCTCCATCCTCCTGTCACGGAATTGTGCAGAGCCAGAAGGTTCCCCTGAGCCTCCTTTTCTCCAGGCTGTCC